TATATGAGTTGTTAGTGCAAGCCGCAAGCACATGTAAGATGAATGAAAAATTAAAGAAATATCTGTTGTCATGTTTACTCCCTGTCAAGTTGTGAAACTCAAAACTGACCTACCACACACCCCCACCCCCCACTAATAATTATCTCTGTCTTGTGTACTTTTGGGCATGTTTAGTTTGGGGTTACAGTAGTGCATCCTCAAGTATTTGTCCTCTACTTATTTGTTTCATGATGTATCTTTGTCGAATCTTTTTTGGGTTTTTTCCCCTAAAAGTATATTTATGAAATGTGTACTTTGAAGTATTATACATTATGGTTAAAAGAAATATAATTTCCCCAAGTTTGTCTCTACATGGACTGGATTGTCAATGTCACCAAGACTTATCACACATAAAGTAGACATTAGTGCCACTTTTGATGTGATGAAATGGTTGAACCATTTTTTTTCCATTCAAATGTGATTTGGATTTAAAAGATAAATAAATGAGAGAATATGCATGTAGAAACTACAATTTGTTTGTATTCATTGGAATTTTGTGATATTTATAATAACAAGATTATTTTTTTTTAATTTTTTTTTTTTCTCAGTTTGCTGTGAGTCTGGCCATTATCTTCATCCTGGAGATTGCTGGTGGAATCACTGGATTTGTTCTCAGAGACAAGGTAATGTCAGTCTTGTAGGCTTTTGTTTGAATTGTTTTTACCCAAGTAAAAAAGTGCATTTAAAGTTCAGACCAGTATCATTAATGTTCATGGTACATTTGATAGCCCAACTAAAAAAATAGGCTCAATATTAATTCTTGCAAGTTTTATGAAAGTTAATAAATACCACTGTTGGTGGTATACTATTATTCTGACTCTGTATATATATCTTCATTCCACACGAGAGCACCCGCCAACCACCTGCTTTTTTAAAATCTGTGATTTAAAGTCCGATGAATTTTCCATTTGGTTGTTTTATATGTCCTTTAAAAACTTTTCCTTGCAGATTGAGGATGACGTTAAGGGAGTGCTTACAGATGCCATGAGGAATTACAATGAATCACACCATGAAGGTGTTACAAAAAGCTGGAACAAACTTCAAGAGGAGGTATGTAAGATTTTTTTGGCTTTGGTATAGGTTATTAGTTTCCTGTCTTCTCTTCCATGTCTCTCCCTTGAGAAGATGTACACTGTTAGTAGGTATGATTGATTTTAATCACATCAAGCATTCTTTCTTTCTGGTTGAATTGTTACTTACTTTGAATATGAATTGAGCATTTACTCATTGAAGTAAACACCACATGTTAGTTATAGTTATGGTTTTGTTTTGGATATATAGAAGCCAGCAGAAACTTGAGATAATAGCATTTTTAAAGGATGAAACTTCTTTGGGGCGAGGGGGGGAGGATGTTCTGTAACTTATGAGTTCCGCCCAGTTATCCCAAAAACTGCTGATAAAGACCTGTGATAATGTTGTTTATTGTTGCCTTTTTTAACACCTGATGGGGGTAAACCCACAATGCGGGGGGGGC